GTGGGGGGTTGGTGAAGAGTATTCATTTAACTTCCCATAATGTACAACATGCTATTTCCCCTTACAATTTAAATTTATTATCCTACAAAAAAGAAGAGAATAAATGTTGTGGTTCAAGGCTAAAAAATCTTGATCTTTAACTATTTAACCAAATTTGCAGTTGAGCAATTAAAATATCTTTATCATGCAGGGCTTGACACTAACAGTAGCCAACTAACCACAGACTAGTAGAAATTCAGTTTTGGCTTGTGTTTTTCAATTCCCACTCGCCAGTTTGGCTAGTAAAAAAAACTGAAATTGTCATAACAAAAGTTAGTGTCAAGCCATGTCATAAAGAAAGTAGCACTATACCAGGATTTCCAGCTATAAGAAGCCAAAAGTGTGTTAGATATCAGCAATAAGCTGCTGATACATAAAACGCATTTCACACTGCTCATTCACTAATAAAGTCCGCTTTTCTTGTCATTGTAGGCCCATGGTGTTTGTATACGTAATCACATGATTTCGAGTGCAATTTGGAATAAATAAGCAAGAGTAGATTTTCTCAAAGACTAACAAAATTGCACGAGCCTGTAGGGCAAGTGCAATTTGTGGTCTTTGAAAAAATTTACAAGTACTCATTTATTCCAAATTGCACGAGAAAATCTTGTGAAGCGCGCACATCATGTGCAAAAATAATTTATTCAAACTCTGCATGTGACATTGACCTTGCATTGACCTTGACATTGACATTGACATTAACCAATCCTTCTGACCAATCAGAATGTCTGGTTTGTTTCTTTCTTTGCCCTGAATTAACCCTCTTCTGCACTGAATTAACTCTCTTCTGCACTGAATTAACTGAAAACTGCATTCATCTTAACCAATCAGAACCGAGAAATTTTTTCATGTATATTATTAATATCATAAAATAAGACATGTTTGCTTGCATTTAAGGAATTTCTCTCCTTGCATTTAACTCGATATCTCACTCATGAGCCACGTGTACATGCATCAGGTTGAACACAAGAAGAGAAATTTCCATATGTAATCATGCCCATGTATTGTTCTCTACTTAACTTACCAAGTTTGGTCTTTTAGCAAAGGGAGTAGCTAATATCAACAAATTATGAATATGATGATACAGGTTACCAGTCATGAAGGACTGAAAAATAAAACATCAGATGTCAATGCGTTTAGATTTAAGGTCAAGTCTAAGGCTTACGTAACCAGATAATCAATCGAAGGTTAGGTGTACCATTGAATCCTTGTGTCTAAATTTAAGACATTCTCAGCTGTATTGTTTACTTGAATTCATTTACCTCTTTGTATTTTTTGGCGTCTTCTTCATTAAGGGATTTGGCTGTAATAAAAACGATTCACCTTAGCAAATATCCTGCTTGTACTTCTTATATTGATCGATTAACTTGGCCAATTTATAAAAAGTGATTCGACCAGTGCTTTGTGTTTACTCAGCCCACAACATAAACACAGTTTGCTTGTGGATTATTTAAGGTGAAAATGAGCATAATTACCATGAGCTCCGTATGCACCCAATGCAATAGCCAATGCTCCAGATACACCAGCTATTTTGTGGAAAATCGTTGGAGAAAAATGCAAAATACTTGCCAACATTTTGGAAATACGAAGTTCCGTCACTAGCAAACGACGGCGCAAGAGTGGGCAGCGGTAATACACACAAAGAAACGCGCGAAACAAATTCTTTGGCGGGAAATCAAGATGGCGGACGAAGAGGAGCTGTACCTTGCAAATCTTGATGAATTTGTGAACGACGAAAATAGAATTGTAAGCTTATTTCACAGCGCCTTTTCAAATTAACCTGCTTATTTTCTCCTTAACAGTACATTTTTTGATGTAGTCTTCTGTTCCTGGGCTGTTTTATTTCAGGTAACTTATAAATGGTTGAGTCGAACTTTGTCAGTCCCGGCCAACAGAGCGAAACAGTAAGCAAACTGAAAATATATACTCTCAAGCAGTGATCATGTCATACTATTTTTTCTGCCTTTGCTTCGTTTCAACTCAAAGGATGGAGTCTTCGATGCAAAATGTAACGGTGCGTTACGGACGAATCAATTGAAACGAATTTCAATGCTAGCTTGTTCGTAGCAATCTTCAACGCAACATTTATTTCAAAAAACTTTTTTAATATATGCATTTGAAAATCTGTCAATTCTTTTTATTTAAGCCTATTTGCGGTCTTTGTCTAAAAGTAGTGAGCCTTTTCTTGATTTTAAAGACCTATAATTCGAATTGTTCACAGACGAAGAGAAATAAAAAATATACGTAAAATATATAAATAAAGAAAAAATACTTTGGGATTCCTAGTTAAAAATTTTCCTGATGGGACGACATGATGTTATTCAAGATAATTTTATGTGGTTACAATATATCCTTGACATGTCTGTAGTGTTTTTTTTTTTTGTTTTGTTTTGTTTTTGCAGGATGCTCTATGCCTTTGTTGAGAAACAGAAGGGGTCAAAAACTGGCTCCGAACTTGATGTTACTTACTTGATTGGAGGAAGATGTTCAGTGGATGGAGACACAGTGAGATTTCCACTTGACTTATTCCTCTAACTCCAAAGACTTAAATATGAATTCTCCTCGCTTTCAATCATACAGTGTACATTTGGACAAGAGTTCCATATAACCCCAGACATTAATTATGCGCAGAGTGTTGCAAAGAAACCTTTATGAAATGGAATGCATAATTAATGTATGGGGTTATATGGAACTCTTTCCTACATTTGTTATGATGTATTTTAGCCTCCCTTTTATCTTTCCCTTTTTTGTCCAAGATAGATAATTTTATTTATTATAATGAACTCAAGTTTCCATCAGAGTAAAGTAAAGCCTTAACTCAATACAAAGTAAAGACTCAAACCATGAATTGAAAATGCTCATTTTATTTCAGGTACATAGATTTGTCATTACGCAGGATGAAAAGCTAGAAGGTACAAACTATACATACTCTCAGTATGAATTACTCTATAGATTCCTATTCAAGGGTGTTAAGCAATCTATAACTCACTTATTACAAAAATTATCTAAGTTTTCATTTGTTTTTTCCCAGAGAAATGTAGCCATTAAACACTGGCAAGTTCAAGCTAGGTTCAATTCCTGGGTCTGTTTTGAATTTAGCTTGTTGCTGGTTCTTAGTTAGAGCTTGGGGTTTTTTCTTTTGTTTGTCCCAAGAGCCTGTGTGTTTTTCTTTCCTCCACAAAACCTAATTTTCTAATTTCAAATTCAATCTGGTAACAGGGGATGAATAACTGACTTATGAAATACCATGGCTTAAGTGAATTTGTGTGATTTACTCATATAGTTAGTGATCATGCAGTTTAACTATGCATAACATTACAAAGTAACAGATGTTGGTGTTGTTTGTTTCACTTATTTTTAGAAACCAAAAAGAACTTCTCATTAGTGACTTCTTTACACATCTACAGTGTACAGAAATGTAAATTAAAGGTGATGTTAGTTACTCCATTTCTTAGCCATCAATTTAGTTTGAGGGAGATCAACTCATAAGTTCCCAGTCTAGCATATACATGTAATTTGAGGAAACAACCTGGCATTAACATGCTTGCCTACTATTTCTTAACAGCTTTCTACATTACTTTCAAACCTATCAACAATCCTGTCCATAGGGGGAATTTTAAAGTCAAGAAAATGTTTATCAAATCTTTCAAGCTATCCAACCAGTAAACAATAAGCAATTAACCTCAAATTGATTCAAATAAATAATCGACTTCTGATACCAATTTCTAGGATTCAAATTCACTGTACACTGTTGACTATGATGTACAGAAGCAGCACAGCAGCGAAACTAACAGGTATATTTTACCCTCTAATATAACAAACAAGAGTTTGAATTTTCTTGACAATATTGATAGTTTTATAAGCAGACACAGGGCTTGACACTAATGGTAGCCAACTAGCCACAGACTAGTAGAAATTCAGTTTTGGCTAGTGATTTTCGATTTCCACTTGTCAGTTTGGCTGGTAAACAAACTGAAATTGTTGTAGCATTTAAGTTGTCACTAGCCACTTGACTATAAGTAAGTTGAAAAGTAAGTGTCGAGCCCTGAGACAAGTCATGATGAAAAGGAGAGTTATGGACAATGTTATAGCATGAGGATGCTTTTACAAACGAAAGGTATTTTCTCCCCGGTATAGCTTAAATTCTTATCAACTGTGTAATCATATTGGTATCAAACACCAAATATTGCAGTGATTTTTTAAACTAAGCTACTCGGTTTTTATAAAAGTAAAAACCAGTCATTTCAAGACTAACAAAAGTAATTATTGGTAGATTTCAGATAATTTAATCTTAGAAAGAAATACAAGGTGAAAGGAAGTAGCATGAAATAATGACCAGTTTGTCTTCCACATGTAGATGGAGCCATATCCATTGTTCAGCTGCAGTACCTCGAGCAGATAAAGGTGTTAACAGAGATGCCCACCTCATGAATGGGGTGACAGATGGTAACACGGATCATGGTACCAAAATGGTTAATGGAACTGGTGAAGTGCACTCATCTTCAAGAGGTAAATAAATGTACTGTAGGCCTGGTGTAGCGATGTGTTTCACAGTTCATAAACATGATCAGAGCCAAATTGCATTTTGTATTGCATGCATTTGATTTAAGCAAAAGTTATTTTAGTTGTACATTACTAGTTGTTGTTCAAATTAAAAAAATCCTTTTGTTCTGCAGGGGCCTCTAATCCAGCATTTGACCAAAAATCTAAGGTTTGTTTTTGTACTTGTTACCTAACTGTATTTACATTCTGTTACATGATATGTATTGAGTTTTAAAGTGGGTTTTGTTACAGTATGACTGTATTTAAAGTAATTTGATCTGACCTTCCTTTTTTGAGAGACATAGACTTGGGAATAATCCCTGAACAAAAAAGAAAGGACAAGTGAGACTGATTTGAAATTATTTTAACATTAATGCCATTTTATTTAAAACTGCAACATAAATTATCATACAAATTCTTTGTCAGTTTGTCTTTAGATTCATCAATTTTTCCTGGCACTCATCTGTCTATCTGTAGTGTATTGCATTACATAGCATTACTAACCTAAGGAACTTCCTATTACTAAATCATTCCATAAATCTACTATCCTAAGTGAAAGTAAATTAACTAGGGGTAATTACAAATATTGGACGGTAAACATATTATCTTGATTATTGAATGAAATACAGTTGAAAGAGAGCAATAAGTTATGAATACTCTACACCATCTATCCATCCATATATCTAATTCTTGATTTGATCTCTCATTTGTTAGTTTTGGAAGTATTGTTATTATGTCAAAGTACTTATTAGTCTCTAATTGTGTAATTTTCTTATCACACCATGCCAAAAATAGATAGCAACTTCAAAGTCAAGGAAAGGACAACTGCCTACAATGGAGATGTTCTCCACAAAGTCTACCGCCAAGACAGACAGGCATATTGGTGAAAAGCCACCTGCTGTACAAAATGGAAGAGATAACCAGGTGTGTGCAAGGCTGTGCTCTAAGGAAAATTGGGTTCTGTCCTGGTGTACCAGTTCCCAAGGGAATTACCATTGTTCTTTCTTTGTTTAGGAGTTATGGGTTAGCTATTGTGTATTGTTTGGTCTTTTGTATTGGATCTTGTGAACCGGTACACGAGGACAGAACGGAAAAATAAATGGATCCCAATGCTTTGAAACTGTTAAATTACTTTCTGAGCATTTATAGGACTTAAAGGATTTGAGAAATGTAGTAGGAGAGTAAAGCAAATGATCAGAAGAATATTTATCACCCTTTTACTTTTTGGGTTGACTAACAAGGAATTTCTCTTCAGAGTACTGTTAATGAGTAAGAGCAAAAATTTCATGTACATGTAAGAGTTAAAGGTTGATGTAATGGCAAATTCTCTGACCTAAAGTTATTAAAAAAAACTTACAGCAAACAGTGCGGAGAAACAATTTTTTAGATGTTCGGAGTAGAAGGTTAAAGTCTTAACTTAAACTAATAAACAGCCCAGGTCATTAAAATGTTATAGGAGAACTCCGAGCAATTACAGGTCTCCAATCTCTGATGGCAAATAAACACCCTGATTACCATGATCAATAAAGTTTCAGATATTATAGAATGTTTCTGTTGCATTTTACTTAAATCATCAACTGAGACTTCAATATCTGGTATATATTTTGTTATTTGTCATTCCAAGGCTGATCAAATCAAGCCCAACAGTAGCATCAAAGGGGGTAGCGTGATGTCATTTTTTGGCAAATCCACATCAGGTTTGTGAGTTTATTTATTTAATTTATATTTTTTTCATTATTTTTTGTGTGTGTGTGTGCTTGTCATTTTGATGTAAGTTTTTTTCTATAGTCTCCCAAATTCTGGGAGACTCATGACTAGCTGCCACCAGGGTCCTTTCTTAAGGGAGGAAGAGACAGGACACTGGGAACAAGGTTTAAGGCAGATATGCCAGTCATTGAGTACCAACCCCCAGGCTAGGTAGCTTTCTGTGAAAGTTTTAACTTTTTTCCATGCACAGGCAAAAAAGCTTTAAAAAAGTCAAGCACTGCAGGAAATGAGAAAGAAGTTGATCAACCCACAGGCAAAAAAGCTTTAGAAAAGTCAAGCACTGCAGGAAATGAGAAAGAAGTTGATCAACCCACAGGCAAAAAAGCTTTAGAAAAGTCAAGCACTGCAGGAAAACAGAAAGAAGTTGATCCACCCACAGGCAAAAAAGCTTCTGAAAAGCCAAGCACTGTAGGAAAAGAGAAAGAAGTTAAACCAGCAAAATCTCAAACTGCACCAAAGAAACAAGATCAAGCTGCTGAAAGTAGAAATTCAAAGAAAAGGTATCTATTTTTTTGTGGTTTACTTCGCATGTCACATTCAGTACAAATGGACTTCAGGAATGCATCAGCTTGTTGAAAAAAATTATCAATTTATTCAAATGCTTTTTCTTAATTCCAGGGAGTTGTCTTCTGAAGATGAGGAGGTAAAAATTGTATTAATTTATTTAATTTGAAAACGTGTGGTAGAGTTAATGCTATTTTTCTCACTCCCTCTTTTCATAGAGTCGATAAAGTCCTTGTTTCTAAATAATCTTTTTTTCTTCTTCAACCTCCCTGTGAAACCCCTTCACATGATCCTTTCAGAAACTTTGACATACATCAGATATGCTGCGTGTTATTTGGGCCATGAAAGATATATTGTTTTAGGAAGAGGAAACAAAACACTATACTTCCGTATGATGATTAACTAAAGAAGCGCTTGATTGTTAAACAAATTCTCCTTGTAGGCGCCTAGGGAAATGTATAGAGAACAGTATGGAGAATATACATACTGATGTTAGGGTGTTAAGTATTAGGTAATTTATCCATCCGATGAAGGGCTAACGCTCGAAACGTCAGCTTTTGTAATCGTTACGGTGGCCAATTTACCATTTCAACTTTGTTGATATATCCAAATTATCCATCAACAGTCTGGCATGGAAAATGTCTATTCACTTCAAAAGAATGGAAACCTTACTTTATGGATTTGAAAAATTTGGTTTCAACGTGTGTTTGAGATGAGTGTGTTTCAGCGGAAGAAAACCAGATACAACATTCATTTGATTATAAATCTTGGTGAATTATTCTTTGATTTGTTTGTAGGAACCTTTGCCTCCCAAAATGTCCAAAGTTGTGAATTCAAATGTCGTAGGTATGATAAAGTAATTATAATTGTTTCAAATCACAGTGGAATGAGTCCTAAAACCATGAAGTTTTGTTTAACAAGGCTATCCAGAGAAAGAACATTTTACGCGCTTTTTCACTGAATACCTGAAAATTTACACCCTTCATACATTTTGGTGAAATAGGTAAACAGAAGCAGAAGGAAGACAAGCAGACTGATGTTTCAAAGGGGTTAGTGGAACTTCGCGTGGACACAGTTCATGGAGTTTTTATTTATATAGTCGTGTGACCCGATTTTTTTCGGATAAAGCTGTTAGGCTGTCCGTGTGTTAGACCCTCCGCGCTAATCCCACGGAAAAGAGCGGTATTTCAACGATAGGTGTAAAGTAAGTCTGAAAAGATGTGAGGAGGCTCTGGGTAGAAATAAAAAACATTCCTATAACGCTTTGGTTTTGCTTTTCATGCTTTGGTTTTTCGTTTCCTTTTGTTGTTGTTGTCGTTGTTTTTGTTTGCTTTTCCTTTTTTTCTTCTTTTCCCGCACAATGGTGTTGAAGCTGTTTTTCGGAAGAAGATTTCCAGAAGATTTCCACTCTTACTCTGTCGTGAATATGGTCGATATTTTCTGGTGGTTTAAAACGAGCTGTTTCTTTTTTTGGTAGTAAAGCGGGTAAAAAGAAAGCTGTGATAAATGAAGAGTCAGGTACGTACAAAACTCAGCTGTGTCGTGTGATCGTGTGATCGTGACAATCTGTTCGTTTTGTCAAGATTTAGGATCCAAATCAAAGAGCCTGTAACAGACGGTACATGAAAGCAATATGATACCGTCAGGTTTGTTTTTATTTATTTATCTATTAGTTTACTTGCTCATCTACGTTTGATTCCCATTTTGGTTTTTTTTTTTTCGTTTTCTTTTGGTTTTCTTGCATGCTCAGTTAGGCCTTCTAACGAATTTTATTTTGCAATTGATTTTTTCATTTTATTCATGGTTTTGATTAATCACACTTTCTTTCACTTCTACTTCAGACGAAGAACGAGAAGTGAAGCCAAAAAAGCGAAGGAAACGAACGAAAGAGCTTCCAAAAGAAGACAGCAGTGATGATGGTAATGATGTTGTAGACATTTTTAACACGGAGCACCACCCTTTCTTCGTGGCGTGCTTTCGCAACTCATGGGATGTCGCCGTTATTTAAAAGAAATTTAGGCCTAGTTTAAACGTCGCGCTACAGTCGAATTTAATTCAGACGACTTTAATTCAAGGTCCCACAAGCAATTAAATTCGACGATAGCGCGACTTCTAAAACGAATTAAATTCGTCTGGTAAATTAAATTCGTCCTTGACGTTTTATCCGTCTTGGTAAGATGGATAAAATATCGATAACGCGTCTTCAGTTTTAACCTTCCTACTAGCGTCGCGTCGAATGAAATGCATACATTGTATTTCAATTCATGTATTTCAATTTATTTTGGCGAGCCCGCAGCGACCTGAGGCACTGCATTTGGGAAGAGAATTAAATTCGATCGTATTGATTTCGACGCATAAAACCACGCCACGATTTACGTCGACGGAACGACGAATTTAATGGAATTAAATTCGTCTGAATTAAATTCCACTGTAGCGCGACGTATAAACTAGGCCTTAGAAAACTTGCACCTTGTATTTGTTCAAATTCAATCTAAATTTCAACTGAGAAGAAAACGCCTTTCATCTCAGTGAAAACTTATCCTTGGGAAAGCCAGTTTTTGAGGAATTGATCGTCGGAGAAAATGAATTTATTGCACAGAATGTCTTCCAGGTTGATTGTTCATTTGTTGAGGCACTTGTTCGAATAAGAACTGACAATGATTGACAATTGGCTGAAAGTAACGACGTCATTTTAACGGTATTTTCACTCTGCCAGAATTTTTTTTTGGTTTGACAACAATCTGCAAAATTTCCGCGGTACACTGTAATTTTAATTTCAATGTAGAACTTTCTGTTCTGTTTCTCAAAAGAGCAAGATGTGCTGAACGGGGACGTGTCTAAGAGAGTTCCCCGTGACGAAGGGTCTTCAAGCAGCGTTAGCCCACCACCACAACAACGGCCTCAACAAACAGTGAATAATGGCTCAGCAAGACGACGGAAAAGAACGAAGGCACTTAAAGATAAAACTTACATGAATGACGAAGGCTTTATGGGTATGTGGGCGAGAATATAGCATGTCTTGATTAATGTTTCCGATTTCTTTAAGTAACAACAACCAAAACCAAGGCAAAATTAATGTTAGGACCAGTGTCAGTCTTTGTGTCTGGATGTTTGTTCGTCTGCCTTTGTAAATTCTACTTGTCAGTCGGTCAGTCTGCCTTTTTGTCTATCTGGCTGTCTATTTGTCTTTCTGTGCGCCTTTCAGTCTGCATGCCTGTCCATCCCTCTGCTTCTGTATGTTTTCCTTCTGCCTGCCTGACCAACTGTCCTTTTGTCCGTCGGTAATTCCTTCTGTCGGTCCGACAGACCCCACGTTTCTCTGCAAGTTCGTGAGTACGTCCGTCCGTCAGTCTGTTCAACTGTGTCCGTCTGTCTCTCAGTGTGTCAATCAGTCAGTCAGTCTGTCTGTCTGCCAGTCAGTCAGTCAGTCTGTCTGTCCATCGGCACTCTTAATCCCATAGGTATCAACGAACGTTTATCATTCCACTAATTTATTCGTATTTTTCTCGTCGCCATGTTCCCACCAATAGCGTAGCTCCACTTTCTGCATATAAACCCACACACAACCCACAATTCCTC